TTTAGTACGTTTAATGGTCATTTAATGTGTGCTTGAATCGGAAGATCACCAGGTAAGAAAAGTTTATATCAATATGAACACGAACAAAAGGCTGAATAAATCTGAATAAATGGCACAATTCAACTTTCTTCTTGCGTCCACTTCAACGACAGAAAAAATAAAAATAAAACGAGACAATAAAAAAAAACATGATCGAGGTATACCTTAAAGATTAATCTTGCATCGTTCAAAATATCTGTTCTGTTTTTCATTGATTTCTGGAAACATACAACCGCCTATCGCTAAAAAAACAAGAAAACAAGATTGAAATGATTACCGATGGGCAACTCGCAAAGTTTATTCAAATGTCACAAATCTTCACCGTTGAGGTTGTTGTCTTTGCCGCTTAGCACTTTTGGTGCTGCCCAGAGACCGCTATGACATCGCCTGAAATCACAGAGGCAATGGCAAAAATTTGTGCTGTGTGCAAAAGTTCCCAGAACAAAGTATGACTGTAAGCTTTTAAAAGGAGATGTGACAAAGACCGAAAGGTGTTTTAGAGGTTTTTATAATCTAAACTCCAAAGTGCCTCAAATTCCCATCTTTGAAGCAATGTAGCTAATAAAGATTTATCACTAACTCATAATAAACTTAATATGTTATGCCAAAACATACTGCTTGGTTAAGTTTAATATGATAGTGACTAGAAAAATAAAGTGTAAATTAGGATGTATTAAAATTTAAATTAAATTGGTTTAAGTCCAAAGAAAAAACTTAGTTTAAGCAGATAAACTTGATTAAATTATTTCTTAAAGTAAATTGGATTTATTTGATTAAAATATTCATTAGGTTTATAGCCTTATTCTTCTCAAAGTTGATATATTTGTAATATCATTAGAAGTTTGGAGTGATTCCCAATTTTATTCATTTTCTCGTTTTATATAAGGTAAGGTAATTCGTCTGGTGAGAGTACCATTTTGCTGTCTAATGCGTTACATCTTTTTTAGAAAAGGTGGGACAGAACTGTCTATTTTTTTATAACTGTGCTATAGTCCCATAATTATTTATCCGGCTTTCAAAGCTCTCTTACTGTCTTTGATTATTTAACCTCTTGGAAGCCTCTTAAGATATTATGCGGACTCACCTACATAGAAGACAAAGAGTTTTTGTGGGTGACCAACCATATCGGCATTCTGAGCCATGAGACATCCCATCATGCAGAATACATGCCAGTCTGCCAACTTTGCTGATTATGAGTAATGGTATTCATAATCTAACAAGAAAATAATTTTCGTATCGTATATTATTCTGTTTTGAATAAAAAGAGCAGGTACGGCCGTAAAATATATCTTTATTCAGTAGCGCATAGAACTGGGCCAAATGGGTTAAGGCAACAGCGTCGTATCTTTCTGCTGCGTTTGGTTGAAGTGAAACACAAATCAAAACAGTAGGCTTTGACCAATGTTTATAGTTAAATTAATTGGTTCATTCTTTTGCATACAATTCAATACTTGCCTTGAGTGTACAATGATAATTATGCTTGACGAAGATTATGTTTTATACGATTTTTTTCTTACTTGTTTCACTAAGTTTACCAATATGCTGTATGGGAGTATTTCACGCTGCCTGAATCTGAGTTTCAGATTTTAACCTGCCTCATCTTTTGTTTTGCAGGAAATGTAAAATAATATTGAAAATATGGTAGGCAATGTGGCAGTCTCAATGTGAGAGGAAGCAAAGCAGTGGCTGAAAAGACTGTTTTGATACATTGCGTGCCGTCTTGCTTTTATCCTAATGTCTAGAAAGGCGCGAGCGTCTTCTTCCCCACTGTGGGTTCGGTGAGCGCAAGGCCATTCTGTAAAAAGAAGTCTCACCGTTGTAAAGGCAAATAAGAACAAAGCATAAAAAGGTGTAATTTAATTAATATAGTTACCTAACGTAGCAGCAGAGTTGCCAGACGGAGAGAAAAAAGGTCAGCAGATTGATCCCCAAAAAGTCAGTAGATTTGCACAAAAATCAGTAGATTCTACAAAATCTGTGTTTTGTCATGTTTTGCTATTTCCATTAAACCACACTTCGAAGAAATAGCATAGAGTAATTAATACCATGGTAATATACACAAATAAAAATGAAAAAAAAAGACCGAAAAAGAAATAAGTCCGTAAAAGACGATGCATAGCCTCAACAGTGCTCCTCGCCAACAGCATTGCGTCAAAAACCTTCCACACCCCAGAAAGGAAAGATGGCCCCTTCCAGGACTTCCATTGGACATGTACGCGCGCACTTGGCGGAACGTCTTGTTTTGGTTTCGTTTCAATAATAGCTGCAGGTGGATGTCGCACTGTCGCACTCATCTGTTGATCCCAAAAGCGGCTCAATCCCGAGTTCAAAGATTAATCCACGAAATCGCAACACTAATCAATGCTGATAAAAAAAAATGTATTGTGCCGTTCTATTTTTATCCTTCATAAAACAGGTAAACTTTAGTTAGCTATACGTGAATTACTCGATTTTCGCCTGATCCAAAGTTTGCGTTCAAACGTGGAGAAACGTAATTCGTTAGCTTTTTAAGCCACCGAGGAATAACATTATATAATTTTCTTTCCAGAGCCTTCCAAATAAAAGTAAAGAACTGAAATTTCGATGTCGATTCCATTCATTCCGCCGGGCGAATGAATGAAAATGGCGGCCCTCTCCTCTCTGCTCGGAGCAGCAAGAAATTCAGGAGTATTTGCTTCAGGCTCATGCTCTCACGCCTCTCGCTCTGCGCCACGGGCTGATTGGCTCACTCGGGAGAGGGTCGTTACGGCGGTGAAATCATAGACTGGCCAATCTCTTCCAATATATGGCTCTGGCCCGAATGTCACCGTCGACAGGCTTCTGGGCCATAGAGCCAGGGCTTCAATTCTGGGCGAATATGACTTTCTTTTGATGGGCGACACTGGGAAGTGAAGGGGACAAATAATAAATTTTAATATGTTTACTAAAAAAAAGTCAGTAGATTTTCTATTATTTAAGTGAATCAGTAGACCCGGAACGAAATCAGTAGATCTACTGATAAATCAGTAGACCTGGCAACACTGCGTAGCAGATACCGAAAAAAGGTTGTACCTGTCTTCGGATTACCGTTGGAAGGTGCGGATTCTGAAAATGGGGAAGAAAAACGAAGTGGACTACTATAGCTCAGATCCACCGAAAGCAACGCTACTAAAACCGAGACCGAGCTAAATACGACAACAGCGCCACTCTTTATCAGTTGCCTTAACTTAACTGTAGTCACCTTGAACTTTTAGAGAGCATGTTTTTGCGTAAAAACCAACGGGAAAAAACTTTTTTAGTAATTTTTATTGGAGTTTAGTACAAAATGTGATGTTTTCTCAAAATTCTAGTTATCAAGATTTTCCAGCACAATTATATTGTTTTTATACAGCCATGCCTCAGCAGTGGTTTCAGGTAGCGCGTCCCGACCTATAGGCGCATTTTGACTTCGCAGCGAGCGTCCGCTGGCGAGATTGGTGTGGCACCCCTGAAACCCCTTCCACCGTATCTGTTTCTTCGCCAAACTGGCCGATTAAAGCCAAAATGGATGTCAGAAGTCACGTGCAATTCCTCGAGTGGCCGCTGTGGTAGAAATGGCGGCGTTGTGATCCCCATTAGCTCGGTTCGGGAGGGCGGGTCGGTGCCACTTTTTCAGAGCAGTCCCTATGGCAGTTTCCCAACTGAGGGGTGATAGCAATGTTGACCAGAAGTGAAGTTCTTCAGATATTCAAGTTTTAAAAATGTGTTGTACACTATCAAGGAACATCGAGATACATACAACGGATGAAATAGAGAAGCACCCCTCTTACTAAGAGGTACGTTCTAGGATTCAACGATTAGCAAAATAAAATTAACTTTTCTTATCTTTAAACCTTATTTATAATGTTATTTTATACAAGATCGATGCAGACGACGGTGCAGCGCTCGTGAAGTCTAATAATAAATGACTTGGCAGAAAATTCAAAATAATAAATAATCACTCGCATAAAATGTGATGTTTTTCTTCCAAATCGTGTAAACCTGGCGTCTTTTCCTCTTTTTATCTCCCTTTTGGGCAGTTTTTTTTGTTTTGTTTTGTTTAATTCCTGCTGTCCAGACTTGGATATACTTCGGGTCCGCAAATAACAACATTCTATAGTCACAGACAAAATGAGAACGGAAAGGGGCCAGTCTTACGAACGCCCAGATTCCAGCACGCGGTCCATGCCTTGCGCTTTGCTTTGGCTGAGAGCGTGCGATAGAGGTGTACGGGATGCCTAAACGTTGTGGAGAGTTGGAAACTCGCACTGCAGGGCGGACACCCGAAGCTAATCCCTGCCGTTCAAACCTTGTCAGTAACTCTAGTTATGTTCACGTCTAGAAGATTCGTTATACAACCATTTTAGGAATAGGAATATGAATTACACAAAATTTATTTCATTTTCACACTAATTTACGTGTGTTCTGTGTTTTTTGCGATGCAAATATTTCTACAAAATAGCGCGTAGGGTAAAGCCTTTATGCTACCTTTTACCTTACGACAAACCACAGCGAACGCCGCAAGCCCTTCCAGCCAATCGAGCGGGGCGAAAGTATCACGTGACCATAGGCACCCGCTCTTAACTCTACCCTCCCCGAAGGTGACGTGACCGCTCCCGTGGCATTTGGTTGGATTCGATGCCTCGTCGTTGTCGTTCGTCGCCCAATTTACGTCACGAATCAGCAGAAACTTATATGTACAAGTATTGAAGGTGTCGCTGTAATTCCAGCAGCATTCACTTTACTGCGAAACAACAACAACAAAACACATGTGGGTGTAAGGTTTCGCAGAAATGAGCAGCGATATTGCGCAAAAAAACATAAGCAGCAAAGTCTATAATGTTCTTCCTTAGCAAAGGCGTGCCCCACCTACGATTTTGATATACTTGGAAGTGTATTTAAGAAGTACGTCTACGTATCTTAGCTATAAAAGCGGCACGAGAGGGATCCCGGGAAAGCTTCAAATGATAGTTGCTGCAGTTCCAATGGGTCTCCTGTACGCAGCTTTGTTCGCTTGCATCGCCACTACTTGTGCCTGGCAGGCACAAATGACCATAAAAAACCCTGAAAACAACCCGTTGCTTAACGATCCTGCCCTTGGACCTCTCCAAAGCGCCTGGAAGGTATGTGATCTACGAAATGTATTTATATATATATATGGGAGGGAAGTTACACTTATTTTTCAAATGACTAATAAACAATAGCGTTAAAATTCACAGTGCTCATAATATAGCGATGGCTAATCATGACTTGTTCTTGTGTTTTTAATTTTAATAACGTTGAATTTATGTTTTGCATATATTCCAGTGATCGTAGTTCGTATTTGATGCAAAATGAATTAAAAAAGAATTAACTGAACGTCTTTATGAGAGGACATTTTCTGCTGAAGCCCTTTTGAGTTTTGTCGTCCCTGGTGAAGCTGCTAGGAGTGACAAAAATCCAGTAGCAACAGTAAATTTTATGGAATTAAAAACAACTTCTCTTAGTGGAGTGTTTAATCAAAATGTATATTCTAGCGGTATGTTCTGCCTTGAAGTCTTCAGAGAAAGGTTTGGGATGCCTGCATAAGGAGCTACATCGCTAATCTCAGTTTTGAGGAAAGGCGGCTCTGCTCACTGCCTGCCCACTGACTACATCCCTACAGGGAATTGTCCTCTGCCTCCGTCCCTTTTTTTGTGTACCTTCTTCATGGTTGATTCAATATATTCTTTTTGTTGTCTAAGTATGCGCTGAAATATTAAAATTTCCTTCTAAGGAGGTTGTGATAATAGGGAAAACGGTCAATATGTCAGGTTTTTTTATCGCTCAACATGGGGCACTGCTTATATTTTTGGAATATATCACTTTTATTCTGTTTTTCTAATTTTAAAAGCATCTGGATTGCGCACAATTCTGATGCTCGTTGTCACAAAAAAAACGTAATATAATTTATATATAGCTCAGATGTGCACCCAATAGTGAAACACACTGTAGGGAATTTCAGACACCGGAAAAGTCCTAGGAACAATATGTGCTACAATGTATTTAAAATCTACTGTTTGATGAAAAGAAATACGTTTCTTTCCTCAAATATTGACGAGAATACTTTGTGAGATTGGAAAAGGTTTATATCGTTACCTTCGAAGAGGTAGCTTTTGGCGCTATTATATCTTTGAAGTGGTAGAGCCAGAACAAAATCAGACATTATATCATACACATTGTGCTCCTTTGGTCTCGGCCCCGGCAGCTTGTCCCTCTTTCATGAGATGGCACGTCGACATCGATGGTGTTAATACTCGAGAAGGGGAATGAAGAGCAAAACGCTAGATGAGCTGATTATAATCATAAAGACTGCATTCCAGAAGTATTTCGACGAGCTCTACACCCGCTGGAGAATGAAGTTTGCTCCAAAGGGCAGGAGGACATATATTAAAGCAATATGTGTTTCGGGAATCCCTGAATTGTCACGAGAAGTGCCAATTTAGTGAATGTCATCGTCCTTTTTGTGGTTATAAATACGTGGTTGTGAAGTGTAATTACTACGCCAGACGTCGTTGTCAAGTTTCTGTTAAAACAAACATTGCAAATGGAAATCGCTGTTGCATTGCTTACTTTAAGTATAAGTAGATTGCGCATAAGATTACTATTTTTCTCTCGTTCAATCATAGCCTATGGCACGCATCAGTTTAGAAAAAAGAGAAGTCCCATTCCTCTGTTCTTCCCACGAAAATATTGCATTATAATATCTGTGCAGATTTAGCTAGCCATACAATGGCGTATGAGAGTGCAGCAAAATACATAAGGCTGTATGTCAGCTTTAAAGAACACGTGGACATCTTGTTGTATCACTGCGTAATAATGATTCCGGATGCATTCATAAACAATGAGAGCTAAAACAGTATTCTTAAGCTATATTTTATACGTGATAACAAAAACATTTATTTTATTTTTCAGGCCATTAATAAAAAACAGGATGATCCATTTGTCCTAATGTTTCGCTCAAAAAACCACGAACCCAGTATTACTTGTGTCCGAGTTACAGCATCTCTCCACGATGAGTCATCCAAAATTGCAAATTTTACGAGAACGTATTATAACAAGACTTCTCAAAATAAGTAAGTATTTTTAATGAACTCATGTTTGATGAGGGTTCAAATGTTAAAAAGCTTCGCTAGAACATGTGATCGTTAGTTGAATTGGAATATCGTGCATAAAAGTTTGGTTTTAGAAATGATTAGATGATGCCATAGAAAACAACTGTCCAATTCTTGACGGTTTTGTGGTTGAAAAATGCTGATTTATTTCTAAACTGTAACTTAACCTTTACCACATGACAGTTGCAAAATTTCTAGATAAAATAAATAACCAATTCTGAAGTGGCTAAGCCATGAATTTTTTTTTTCCATTGGAGGAATAAAATTTGAGTTACGCCATCTCTTTGTCACTGATGTGCCATATGATTTGCTAGTTTGTTCATACTAACAAAAATACCCGTGTTTATAAAATAAAAGAAAGCCGCTATTCATTTATTTTCACCAAAAACAAATATTGCACCAGTTCTAATTTCTGGACGTATTGGTTAGAAATGTAACCATATTTTCGTGTGTAACGGAGAGTTTGACCAATATATTTTTAAAATAAAACAATAAAATGAATATACTAATATATTCTAAAAACAAAATCCACACTTTTTTGTGCGAAATTATACCTGCATATGGTTCACGGAAAGATAAAGCGAAATTTCTTTTTTTTTTCACATTGCAAACATTACACTAGTGAAATGGTACTTGAATGTAGCCGGATTTAACCAAGGGAGCCATAACTATAGAGCTGGAAAGAATTCTCCCACTGATATATTCAATGCACTCAAGTCTTCATAAAATGGCTCCTAATGTCGTCTTCAAGGCATCTGGAGAAAGGACAACCGTCGCCATCATTGTTATTATAGGTAAAAGGAATAGCCCAACTGAAAAAAAATGCTTAAATACATGTTCTAAGAACGAACTAAATATCGCGCGAAAACCTGAACGTGCCTAATTTTTTTTTTCTGTGCAGTATTAAAAAACAAACATACACACGAATCAAACAACAAAAAGTGGAACGGGCATAGGGGAGGTGTTACTGAGCAGGAATAAAAATGGGCTTTTCGGGGAAACAGTGTCTGCAAGTCTCGTGAGGTACATTTTTTATGGCTTCTTATTTGAATAATTTGTGGAGATATCTGAGCGTGTTCTTTACTTCAAACTCAAAAGAAACAAAAGACGTCCAACGTCGTTATACGAAACACTGTGAAGCGTGCCTGAGTTTCTCTTGATTGGCCGACTGCTGGGTAAGCTACAGCTGTACAGGCGGCCTGTAGCTTCTCTCTCAGTCGAAATTGAGACGCAATTGTGACGTCGGCAGAAAACAGTTGAACAGACACATTAAAGACACGACCAGCACTAGTTTCGCAGATGTGTTTGAGGCACCATATTAGGCATAAATTTGAAGTAGTTAAGCAATAATATTTCGTTTCTGCATGAATCATTTATGTACGAGAATAAAAAGGGAATTGTTCTATTTCAGCGAGACTTTAAAGTACCAAGTAAGAGCTCTGAATCAAACCGGCTACAAACTGGAAAATGTCATACGTGCAGATTGGACTGGTATGTGACTTTAAAATTTATTATTCAATATTATTTTAGCAGGCTTATAAAACAGTCTCCCGAAACTATTGTAATGAATAAACTGGAATGCACACATGAGGGTTGTCCTTCATTCGTGGGTGGGAAACAATATATTCTGAAGCACTTATCTCGGTAAATGTTTCTAAAACATATTTTCTGGTTTGCGTATAATTTGAAAGAAATATCAACAATAACACATACAAAGTGATAAAATAGGAGCAGTGTAACTAACTATTAATCTAAATATATTTATGGTACATGAAATATAAGCAGTCATTTACGAGTTTCACAATCAAATAATTCTTTCCACCTTGCATTGTACGGCATTTTTACCTTGTACGGAGAGAAGCACCGAGACACTCGAGATATAATGAATTAAGCAGAATTCAAGGAGTGATCGCAGAATCTGTTTTAGGAGCCAATGGCGTAGGAACAGGGACCTGATCCGTAAAAGTTGGTCTCACTATCTCCCACTGTAGGTTTCTTGAAAGATAGGAAAGACCGAGGAGGTACATGATGCAGATGGCAGGATTTGAATTCAAACAAATGAAAGACATCAGTGACAAGAAAGCATAATTTTACGCTAGGTTCGTGGTCTCTGAAAGGGGTTAGGTTACCAGAACACTTGGTGGCGGTCGCTACTTGGAATGAGCGCTTCATGCAGTGGTTTATTTTTAGCTAGGGTAGTACGGATATTTTAGAGGCGAGAAGTCATCTTAATCTTTACCAAAAAGAATACTAAACAGCATTTTAATAATCCTCACCTGCTTAGGCTAACATTTAAAAAAATCTAGGCTTTCATTTAGATACAACACAGTTCTTAGGCCGAAGCGGACTGTATTCTGATGGGTATTACCTAAATATAAACTAAATATAAGCTAAATATATACTGACAAAAAATAATGTCACGATTTATATATAGAGAAAATATCTGGTTGGATAAAACCACCCATGTCTATATATTCGGGCAGATCATAATACAATAATATTGCATATTTAACATATTAAACTAATTATTATGAAGGAATGTTTAAACATACTTTGAATAAGTAAATCCGGTACAACATCGTGTGTTAGTGGTTAGACGGCATAACCCAGTTTGCCTGACTTCGTTCATGGCAGTGCCATAATTTAGATATAAACACTAACGTAATGCTAACCAGATGACTTTAAAGTTATGTGATACCTCTTCAAATCCAAATAGGGAGAGTATATTGATAACTTGTAAACGTAAAAAAACGCTTAAAAAAATAGTGCATCGTACAGATTACACCTAAGGTCTTGCGGCTGCTGTAAAAGAAGAAAACAATATTATGCGAGTTTCAGTTTTCTTTCATAATGCACGACATATTTCTCATACTGTCTAGAAAAGAAACTTCGGTTATTAAGCGTCACTAAATGCTGATTGTTATCTGCAGAAATTGTCAAATAACGTACTAATATTAATGAAGAAAATAAAACCAAGTTTTCCGGCTGACGTAAACAAATTGCGAATTGCAGAGAGCTGTAGCTTTTTAATATTATGCCCCTATCGATGGGGATATAGGATACGCAAGTTCGGGAGCGTAACATCGCCCGGTTACAATATATAAAAAAAAAATTCCAACTCCCTCCATGAGCCGACGTTCATATAAGCCTAATTTTGCCGAAACAAGAAATAACATTTTGGATTCCTGTATTACATATTTCTGTAAAACAAGCTTGTCAGCAAGAAAGGAAATATTGTTTGCTTTCTTGCTGACAAGGTTGTTGTACCATTGTAAATGCCACAGGCGCTTACATTTATCACGTCTTGTTTTGATGAAATTGGGCTTAGAAAGACGTCGGCGTATCCTGAAATTTCTTCTCTCCCTTAGATCTTCTGATCCAGGTAAGGGCTTCCCAAACTTTAGCATCATATCCCCACCGCTATCGTCATATTCTGACGGAGTTTCAGCGGTCTACTATACGTGGTTTGCGTATATGGGCCGCGAAATCGGGTTTCATTTTCTATATCGATCCCGGTATATCCTATCAACAACCATTAGTTTTTAGAACGCCGTTTCCTGAACAAAAAAAGATAATTATGTTTGTTAGCTTTCGAGTATAATAGTGGTTTTTACTCCATGAAACTAGTAAGAAGTGTGAGCAGCAGAAGAGGCTTTATTTTTGACGCTTCGAGCAGAGCCTGCGCTTTTTGAATTGTATCTTTCTACACTCAAAATAGAGCAGGCTCTGCTTGAAATGTCGAAAATAAAGCCTCTCTTGTTTCTCACAATTTGTTCTACGTCTTATACTTTCTTGGTGAAGAAATGTTTATTAACACTTTGGATTCGTGAGACTAGGCTATTTTACCCATACAATACTAAAAATATGTTTTTCAAATATAATCTACACGTATATACTTTGTTTTCGTCGTAAAACTAGGCACTCCAAGTGATGAACCAACCCCTCTGGGAAGCAACATGTACATCGAGTATGGTGATTACTCCTGCAATTCCTCAAACAAACCCCTATCGGATATGGGTAAGTTCAGCTTTCATCAGCTACCAATATCGTGAATGTGTCTGCCTTCCGAAAGTGTACGGTGGTACACTGTAACGTTTTTTCCGCACGCAGTGAGGGCCGCACGAGAGGCTGTGGGAGGTGATTCTACAAGAAAGGAATCAGTGGAAGGAGTTAATTACCTTGACTTCTATGTGGTCTACAACCAGCCGTCATGCAATATTCTCAGGTCTCCTTTTCTCAAAGGAGGTAAGCCGGTTAAAACTATACTTAATACAAAAATATTGTGCTCATAAAGGTAGAAAAAACCAAAGATAGTTTACTGCCAGAAGTCACAAACGAAACAAGCCGAAATATATCATAATTCCACCGGTATTTTAGAGCACACACATAAGTAGCTCCCTGTGTGGGTAACCGTTTAACCATTCGCATCCCATCCCTATACGTGGATTTCGTTGGGTACCCGAACCGCATCCTCATGGCTTTAAATTAACGTATCTGCAACCGATTTTCATCCGCATATTTGTGTCCATGACTGACTTGTAATCCGAGCATTCATTTTACATCATAAAATCAAACTGAAATGAAGAAAAAAAAAAGAATTTTGATGGTACATTTAAATTGTTTGCTTCCTATATGCTTGAAAAAAAACCGGAGGCGACCGAAGAGGGAGACAAACACAAAACGTTTAAATCGCAGCTACTAAACTGTACTAAAGTGGGAATTTGAGCTAGTTTGAACAACACTAAGATTAAGCATTATTGGCACAACCGTTTATGTGACATCGCTCAGAGAGAGGTGGGATTTTCCATATAAATACCATATTTGCCAGCGCCACCGAGATTGTATATACCATCTGTCACAGAAATGGAACTTAAGGAACAACCTCATTCCCCACGCAGCACACGTCTCCCGCATTTGCCACACGTCTTTGTGGCCTTCAACCGCGGTAGCGACCTTACAAAACAATGGTTTATTTAATTGTAGAAGCCGGTTAGATTCCTTGTACGCTTTTTTGTAAATATTCGACCACCTTACGATGTGTCCAAATTGAGTGCCTCGTCTAAAGCTGTAAAACGCTGCGTATCCTTTTATTCTCGTGAATTGAGCTTATTTAGTAGTTGTTAATGATGCCCAAAAGAGTTCCAATTGAAACCATACATTGAAATGTACTAATTTGGAATGCAGTTAATCACAAGTAATTTAAAATGTACCTGAACGTTACTCTTTTTGTTCTTAAATGCACCCCTTGACAGAGACGAATATGACATCAACCTATTTTACTCTAAGAAAAAATAGAGCGCGTCTTAGTCCTTCGGGGGACTAAACGCGCTGTCACTACCATTCATACGCTAGGAGGCTGACGGGGACGAGAGCAACCTTTGCTCCACTCCCGTTAGTCCCTCAGAGATGGACTCCCAGGACTAACTTCTGAGCCCTTGCCTTTAAACCCCACGGACTAATTGGTGGCGGAGAGTGCGGTGGCCTGATCGGCTGGTTCATTCCGAGGGCACCACTCTCTCTCCCTCCTCTGTTCCCTCTCCCGTTCCGCCTTCATACTGCACGCCCTTTCTTTCTTCACCTGACATTGTCATCGCCTCCACCTCAAACCCCCCCCCCTCCCCTTCCCAATAAGCTGGGGTGGCAACATCTGGCGGCTTCTTGTCCTGACGTTGTACCGTGACCACTTCTCCGCTTTGTTCCTAGCGAGAGGTAGAGGTGTATCGTTCACAATTTATGTTTAATTCGTTAATTTTAACAACAGTTAATGGTTTCTTTTGACCTAATTCTTGGGCTGTGCATCTCATCAAAATTAAATGCAAGCAGCTCGAAAACAGTTGCGTCCCGGCCTACAGAACAGGACTTAGCTACCCAGTTTCGTGTCATCCTGCTGACCACGGCCAAACAGGTTGTCGTCGTGGCTTCGGTGACTTGTCAAGTGACTAAAGACGTAGATCCTGACAGCTTAGTTCCTTAAGAATTTTTCATCTTTTTCTTTTTTTTTCAGCCTGTCGCAAAGAGACAGCAAATATAGAAACCAATCGCGAAATGGCCGAGCAAGCGTTGAACTTCGCATTCCGGCCGGTTGTTTTGTTTTTTCGTAGTTTATATTCATGTGGTTTTAGAGACACACAAAAAAATAACGCACACGTAAAAGATGATGCGAGGGTAACCAATAGCGTACTTATTTCAGCTTTACGTCAAAGAAAGCAGCAAATAGAATTGACTAGTGTATTACTGCGACGAGTACGTCCGCCACCACAGCACAGCAGTCCAAAAATGAAAAGGGGAAAACGAAGAGATCCGACTCACCTTCTAACCGGAAGATCTAGGTCAAGGTTCAAACTATTCATAGAATGGGTCCACGTAGAAAGAAAGGGGTCACGCGTACATACACATTTGACGAGGCCGCTGGTCGTTAAAGGCAGGGAGCGACGAGCGACTTGCAAGTCCTTCGGACCGACATTGCTAGACTTTCCAACTGACTTGAGTGGCCGTCGTCGGGATTGTCGTCGTTGCTTCCGGAATCAGCGAGTCGGGCTGCTTTCGCCGAGAATTGTGGTTTTGAGTACGAATTTCCTTTTGTTTACAACTTGAAGTCGGGAAACGCGTGAAGAGCACGTAGAAGTATGCTCGCTTGTTTCCACTCTGAAGTATCCCAGCCGTGCTGGCGACCATGAAGCTATTGTAGAATTGCATCGTAACTTACACACAACTTCCGATCGCTTCGCTCGGCATATTCGGATTTGTTTTTAGGTTTCGTCCTATGCACGTTTTCCGTGGTTGCAAAACAAATACACTTAAAAAGACACTGAAAGGGTATTTCTGCTCGCTAAGGTTTTTAATAGTCCATGAGATATGAGAGCCCAATTACCGAGAACACAATTGGAGACTAGAAACTCGTTTTCTTTCTGCCCGAAGACAGCCGATCGAACACTGGCCGGTTTGAGCAGCGCTCACTGTCTTTTTCGTCGTCGCGTGCCGTTTTCTATGGTGTTGACACAACCACCAAAAATAATCAAAGTCGTGGGTCATCGAAGGCACACACTCACAACAAGAAGAGAAAACTCGTTGACTGCAAACGCGTTGACTGAAAAAAGAAAAAAAATTTGCACAGTCACGTGATTTCTGCTAACTTTCTCCTCTATAATTCTTCTCCCTCCCCAGTCCAGTTTCGGTTTCGAGCAGTTGCGCTTGTTTACTTTATTAAAAAATATACGTGACGCTGTGGCAAAATATTGATAGGGTAGTACTCTGACAACCATAAAAACTCTAGTGGCAAAATATTTAACAAAATTGGGGGAAGAAAGGGGGCGGGGGGAGGGGGCTTAGTGCCTCTGAGGTTGGTTCAAACATTTGCGCGTGTCCGACCGAGTGCACGGGTTGCTATGGCAACAGCCGCGTCGGCTCCAACAAAACCGGGTGCAGACCGGTTTTGTTAGAGCCGACGCAGCTGTTGCCAGGGCAACCTGTACGTTGTCATGGCAACAGCTGCGTTTTACTCGAGAGCAACTGCAACGTACAGGTTGCCATGGCAACAGATGCACGTTGCAGTTGTACTCGGTCGGACTCGACGCAAGTGTGCGAATCAGCCTTTAGCGAACAGTTCCTGATGCTAATAGCTAAAGCTCACGATCAAAGTAAAGCAAAGCGGAGAAAATATCCGGCCTCGTCACGTGATACTTATCCCTGCGTCATCATCGAGCGACCGCGGCGCTCTAATCGTTCCCGCTCGGGGCTAATATACCGTCGGAGTGCGGAGCGGCGCCACGTGGTACGTGAACGTGCGTCACGTGATTTTGTCGACCATCGCGGCGGTATTGGTCTGCGGCGTGAAACATGACGGCGACGGATATCGGGTTTGGCGCTCCTTTCACTAAACGGACAGGAGTGTCACCGGAGACTGACACTCGAGCGCGCTCTTCGTGCACCGAGAATTTCTCGGAGCCCGAGTGACTTCTTCGCGCTCCGTGACGTCACGTAAACAAACAAGATGGCTGCGCTGCTCTTGCGACCGCCGAGACGAAAAGGCGTAGTCGGACCGCTGCCCCTTTTCAGTTGATTAGTGCTTAATCCAGCAGGCAAAAACGATTTGATTTGAAAGCCAAGACAGCAATTAGCGTCCCGAGAAAGGTTTGTTCGTTCATCTCGTCTGAAAAAGAAATGCATTTATCAAACGGTACCGTGCCGATAGCACTGCGACAGAAAAGTTGTCGAGATGAGGAAATATTCGGACCGCTCTGTCCCTTTTATAATACTTAGCACAGCGAATAAAGATACCTCGATTTGAAAGCCGAAACATCAGCGAGCGTCGATGAAAAGGTTTGTTCCTTCGTCTTGCCTGAAAACGAATTGATCTATCGAACGAGCGTGCCGATAGCTCGGCGACAAAAAACGATGAAAAGACAGACGGCTGCCCTGCTTAGAATGCTTAGCCCGGCCGCAGCGAACAAAGATACCTAGATTGGAAAGCCGAAACACCGGTTAGCGTTGCGGGAAAGGCTTGTTCATGCATGCCGCCTAAAAAAGATGTGCTAACGACCGATGGTGTGCCGGTATCGTCGTAGCTTCCGTCTCGCTGCGAGACTGAACCAGAAAATTTTAGGGTTTTCCTGCGTCGACGAGCGGCTTCAAGAACATTATCTTTAATTTAAATCGGAACAGCATGCATGGTCAATAAATAGATCAACCAAGGTAACCTTCCAGATATGTGCACAAAACGGGTCTTCAAACCTTTCAGGAATATTAAAACGTTCGTAGAAACTTCATAACATTGCCTTCTCTTTCGCTTTAGACTCTGCCGCTCCACCCGGGCCTAATTATTTTTCTTGGAAATATTTTAGTCTTCTGCCACCCGTATCCACAGTTGGAAGGAGCTCGTGCGGGCCGTGGCCCGTCGATAGTTATTGGCCGTGTTCCAAACTTACTCGATCTACCTCTAGGGTAAAAGTGGTTATCGAAGACCTACCCGCGTCCAGCGTTTCTCTATTTTTGTTGTCACGTGACATAAAACACCAGGGTAACTCGGATCCATCTGAGTGGGTTTGGAACGAATCCTCGGTGTATCGCGCTCCTGTACGATATGCGCCGTTTAGTTGCTGCGCTCGGAGTATGAAACTCGGAGCGTTGGAGTAGGAGTAAAGGAGCGCCGACTTAACGCGCCTAGTGTGTATACGTTCAACGGGGTGAGGATTACAAGGGACGGGACGACATTCGCATGTGACCTTGACAGTAAAGCTCGAAGTGAGAAGCATTCCGAGTGCTTTCACGAGATCGTTCATCTCGAGTCGGTGAACCCGCTAAGCCTAACCGATAAAGAAACAGCTCCGAGAGCTCACCGCTCTCCGAGCTTACAAATTTGCCTGTTCTGCTGTACTCATGACATTACAAATTCGCCTGTTCTGCTGTACTCATGACATTACAAATTTGCCTGTTCTGCTCTGTTCATGACTGCTATCGCAGCCCGTTCACTGTCAAAAACGCGATGAGCTGACAACAATTTCCAAACATTGGCTTTCGTTCCGTTCTGTCAAAAATCAATTCGTATGCAGACGTTTTTTTTTCTTCTTTTTTTTTACGTCCCTATGCGTAGAATAGTCTACAGTTTGTCATAGCTCTTATTTCAGCACGTTACGAGCGTAAATTATGTTCAATCGTCCATCGTACGCTCAAAAAATGTTTTTATGCATTACCAATGTCAAAACGTTTTACCTTCCGCAACAAATCCGAGAATGTCAAAGCGCTTTGAGCTCAGCAGTTGGGATCGATCGAAAGGATTTATAGTCTTCTACAGACTTTTTGAAGTTGTCTAATTTGAAACAAAAACATTATTGTGTAAGTATTCAGAGGTGTTCTGTTTGGATAAATGCTGATATGTTTGCCCGGAGAAAAATGCGTCAATGGAACTTGTCAAATATCAATAAATTGTGACGAGATAGTTGGGGTGTATGAGTAAACACAATCGTTAACTCACATTCCCATAACGCTCCAAGGTCAGTGTACCACGTAATGTGTGAACAATCGTTCCACATCTAAGAAATTCGCCAGTTTTGGTCAACACTTTCAGCCGTGCTGAGTTGAGTCGCACCGATGCCCAAGACGCGCAAAATATCAGCTGTCTTCTTAGCGATCATTTCGTTTGCCTTCGAGGATTGAAACACACAGATGCACTCTGTCCGAGGATGACTAATGGCTGCTTTTGCTCGCGCACGCCTTTCGGTTAGTCTCAGTCGAGTGCAGTTAGTCCCCAGCGTTTGCACAAAGTACCTAGCTTGAACCAGATGGTCCTTTCGGGGAGCAACATTTTAGTTTAGAGGGCCAAAGGCTGCCATTAGTACTTTGATACCAGCTTTATTTCCTTAGCGCACATAGCGATTTGCCAGCGAGGAGCGATTTCGACAGCGTTCCTTGAAACACCCTGTTTGCTGTCCTTATTAAATTGGCAATTAATTTATTTATTGATTTTAGTACCTCTTAAGAACCCCAATAGGGCCATTGCATTACTGTCACCGAAATGTTCCTAACTAATCGTCATCCCATTAACCTTTTTATTTTTTTTTCAGGATGCGACTTTTGGCTAAAGGAATCAGAGTTGCCAAAGGTGCTGGAACGTGCCAATATTATCGCGAAAGAGCAAGCTACAGCAGTGGAGACCAGGGAAGCTGGTGCTGATGAACAAGCTTCAACAGCAAAAGAGGAAAAGATGAACCCCGCAGAAGCCCTATTCAGAAGTCTTCCCACCACTTGCCGCTATGCCTTCATATCAGTATGTGGATATCCAAAGGATCTGATGTACGACAAGAGCATATGCAACAATGCAGGAGCAAAAAAGGCCTAAACCACACCCCCTCGAGTTGAGCATCGTGACGCTTAAGCGTATCCCAGATGGTGGTGGGTACTTTTGTAGGCATGCAAACGACGGGGAAAATAGGCCATTGCCTTTATTGTCCAGCTTGTGTGCGTAGAATGAAATAAAAAATTAGTCGAAGAAAATTCCGACTTCGTTTAGTTCTTACTAAGAAAGAGTACAGTGTGTTTCGACGTCTCATCGTGCAACAATAGTGCAGGTCAATTTTTATATATTTATGTCACAGAAATATATGCTAAAGCCACGTCCTAGGGAGGAGCATTCAGCAATATGCGAAGCAAGTGTTCTTCCGTAGTAATCTTTATTTTATTTAGTTTATGACATTTTTGCGACATGTACGCAAAAACAAATAATATTAAAAATAAAAAAAAAAATATTACGTTAATAAAATGAATCTCGTTAATGAACACGTTTTAGAGACAGATTCACGAATTATTTGGAAACCAACTGCTTTATACAAAACGACGCCAAATATAATAAAATTATCATTTTGAATTGAATTTTACTTTTACACAAGAAAAATATTAGTCATAATTTTAATTGTGTCCTTAATACGGAACAGCACGTCATTTTTCTCAATAACGAAATCGCACGTTAATATAAAAAAACCACTCCACTCTTTATTTTCTTTACACTCTCCATAACCCTTTACAGTCACTTGAACTAATTTGTGATTGCAGAAATTGAATAGCACATGCCCTGTTTCAGAACAAAACGACAACAAACCACTCTAATTGACCCAGCTTGTCTTCGTTATTTATTTATTTAAAAAGTTCACTCAGGGCCCGAAGGCATTACAGAGGCTTTGCCGCACGACGTCAGCAATAAAGATACTTGTTCTATACCCGAATAAAAGGCTGAACAGCGGTGCTGCTCTATTGTTGGGTCTAACAGATTATGGCTTCTATTTTTTAGATTTGTACGTTTGTTTCCTCGCGTTGCCTCTCAATCACATGAGAAGCTTGAGTAATATAGGGGTATTTCTCACCTTTAGAACCACCCTCGTGTATTCGTAGCCTGCACTTCACAAGGCTTGAGCAAGCAAATTTTGTCACAGACAACCACAGATGTACAATCATAGGCACACCCAAACAACAATTCTGCAACAGCGTCTTGCAAAGTAGCGGAATCCATTCGCTTCCTCTATCAGTTCGGGTCTTCTCTCACAGTTCACATGTTTATCGGGCACCCCGGGAACTTTGGAGAAACTGCTATAGGACTGAGGCGCCTGCAATTCAGTGGCGCAGCCAACACGCCCCAGTATTGTCGTCGACATGGGAATTCTCCCGAATCACCTCATCGTGTGAGCAATTAAGCTTGCACACCTAAGAAATACAAGCGTCTTCGTGCGAGCAATGGTAAGTGCGATCGAAGAGGCTGCGACAGATAACAAACGAGTGAATGTAGTGAGCTTTAGTCATTTACCGAACTGAAAAACCTTTGAAAACTGTTCAAACGCCATAACAGTGCGCTAAACGACAGTAGTCGTACAGACAAAGCAGATAAAGTTGCGCGTGTTGGTTTCGGTAAGGACCCAACCACGTGAAGCTTCTCGAATATCGAAACGTTAATTTTTGAGAAGCTACTCTCATTTTCACTTCCACGCTTGTTTGACTACATTTCTACATCGTGTGCTTTCTGCAAGAGCAAACAATGACTAGAAAAAAAGGGAGAGTTCCCAACCTGGTGGGCTCGAGATGACGAGGTTGTCCCACGGAGTCGCCCATATCCAGGCATCCCGAAGATCATTCTCGTTCGGAAATCGGAACACAGCTAGTCGCGTTCGGGTCTCCGGTGTAATTACTTTTGCACCAAGGGACTCAACATTACAACGAGATCGATATGCGGTTGTGACATCAAAGGCAAACGGGCGTGCGCGATTGACACAATGACAAATATTTTGTGAACAAGACGAAAAAAGCTATCAAAAATGTCAAAACAAAAACAGAAACAAAAAAAACACGCACATACTTTTTTTTATTTTTTTTTATATTGGGTGTCGAGCGCCGACGGATGTGCATGCGGCACCCCTTTGATCTAACGATAAGTTGACTGGCAGCGAGGCGTGACCTCGTGACTCTGCAAGGAAAGGGGTGGCGCATTGCGTTCAAGGCGACGTCTCACGCAATTAGGCCTTAGGCCGTCTGCTCTGGCGTAGTTTCATGCCATCTCTCCGAACGCTTCAAGCTTGTATTCTAGGCAGTGTTGCCCATGCCATGGCCTCCTCTCTAGACCTTTCCAGCGGCAGTCTCGAACGAAGCGATTTACAGCGCGCGTCCCAGGTTTTGAGAGTGTACGTCAGTGTTGCCCGAGTAAGTTGTGCTGAGGTTTTCTAGTCAGTGGGCTGTGGAAGCCTGCGTAGGCGCACTTCCGGTTGTTGGTTGAGGCCACGGTGTAAGATAATACTCTTCAGGTGAGGACAGCGCGCTCCTCACGACGTGCCCGATAAAGTTCGCTCTTTACTTTTTCTCTCTATGATTTCAAGCGGCACCGGCAGGTGACTCGCAGACCCGTGGGCACGTACAAGACGGCTCGTGCCGCCTCATGTTCCACACGCGCACAGCTCCAGCGAGGTTGTCGCACGTGCAGAAAGACCACGGTGTCATGGCAACGAGATAATTTTTTTCGCTCTCACACAGTTTCGCCGTTTGGCCGCCGGCGACACTGTCAGCCCCGGGCACAGGGGCAGCGAAATGATGCAGCCTTTCGGACGTCCGTCGAACGAACACGTATCTGATTCCTCGCGCCGCTCTTTCAGCCCCGCCGTGTCCTCACCTAAAGAGTGTATCTTACACCGTGGTTGAAGCTAAATTGCCGCGTTCCATCTTTTTATTTTGTGTTCTATGGCGAATAGAATTTCTCGGCATTTTTAAGAGTGCATCGTACTATTTTTGGAAACAACAACAAAGAAATGAAAGCTGTTTTGGTGAGTCTCTGCGCGACAGAACAAATGCAAATGGAATCTTTGTTTCATATTATGTTGATCTTTCTGCGGCACCATACACTCAGCAGTACAAATCTACAAAGGTCTTAACCGTCGAAAATGTTAGACCACACAGGCTATCCGAAGTGCATGGATATTCCCCGCCTACAATATGAAATTCAACGAGTCTCATCAATCGAACAAGATATATTGTACGTACCCCACGGTGCGACGTTATCCGAACAGTATATGAAAAAGGCCTCAAAACACAACATATAAAATATATATACAGTGTCGACGATAGTCACTTCACGATGATCGGACGGAATCCGGCATGCTTGGGGCACGATTTGAAGAGAGCTCCTTTTTTGCACAGCTTCAAAAAAAACTAACGAACCTGTCTCTCCTGTTCCCCACATCCCAGACCCGACCCTATCAGCTCTTTTTCGCGAAACCCGGATCATAGCCGGGGATCTTTTTGGAGATTATCTCAACGAAAACAATCCTCCAAGAACGTTGAACTGCCTGCGTCGCGTGCTGCTTGATGTTCCCTATCTTCGTTCGTTTCCTGCGAAAGCCATTCAGGCAAAAAGCCCTGGTATTCCCTGGTTCTCACAGTGGAAGATAATACACAAGGGGCGGGGGGTAAGCATCATAAACAGGCTAATAAAATAAAAACGTCCAAGAAAAGCCGTCGAACTCCGAATGCATTTGACGTAGACCTACCAGCCGATTTCAGAAACGGGCCTCAACTCAAACTCGAATCGAACTCGAATCAAACTCGACTCGAAGCTCCACTCGTGGCCGGTTATTCGCTTCATAAACCGACCTCCACTCTAACTCTCCTCGAGTCGAGGAGATACTTGACTCCTTCGTCAAGTGTCTGAAGGTAGCTCTGGCGCTTCCTCGAGCCGCTCCTCGAAATTCGAGTCGGTCCCTGGGGGAAGTGGCAGGAGACGGATTATTTCGGAAGTTCGTCGACTTTGTCATGAGAGCCGACCAATTCTTCTATGACCATCGAGATGAAAGAGTCCCAGTGCCATGGCGTCGTTTGAGTGCCCCAAGTGCCCTGGTATCCCGCATAAGACTTGCCGAAAGTAATATGTATAAGAGTTTCATTGTGATAAGACGACTTAGTCGATGGAATTTCAAATGGATGGAACCGGAACCACGCACGATGTTACTACTGGTCGATTTGTCCTTTCCCGGGGTCCGTGATCCACTGCCGAATTTTTTTGTTTTGCGTTGCATTAAAGAAGTTATAAGTAAAATCAGAAAGCATTCTGGGACGACTTAATTTGTGTCGTTCTTGTTCCCTCCTTTCTCTACCTTGTGTGATGCTACAGGTATTTTCCGTTGTTTATACCGTTCCAAATAGTTTAGCCATCGGCTGCCCTCCCTATTATTGTACTGGACCAGTCTGCTCATCAGTATCTCCGTCTTGTGTAATCTCTGAAAGGGGAATACTAGAGCCCTTAAAAGGAGGAGGAGGAAGGTAACAAATATAAATCGTATTTATTTTGTGTTCTCAACAATGTCTTCAGTCAATTGTTTTAAAGAGTGGAAGTATCTTGACAGCAGCTAAGTTAATATGACGAAGTAACTGTAACTGTAACGCGTTACTTTTATTTTTAAGTAAATGTAACTGCAACTAAAATACCTTTTTGCCAAACTATCTGTAATTGTAACTAATTATTTATTTTAAAGTAACTTACCAAAGACTGCCAATGTCTTCGTGCTTGCAGAGCGATTCGGGAGAGCCAAGCCGCCTCTCGACCTCCGTTTTCCCTTCTGAACAATAGAGCTCTTCTCCTCTTTCTAAATTCTCACAACCACCGCCGGTGGCTGTGAGAATTTAGAAACCTCTTTGGCAATCGGCTGTAGAACACATATTAAAAAAGAGCGATGCCATATGCACTACGTAGTGCACTTCGGACGGAAATTGCTATGTGCACTACGAGGAGAGCTCATGCCGCTCGGGCCACCCTTTTTCGAACTGCGCGTGTATCACTGGGGAGCTCGTTAACACAGCCCCCCGCCTGCGTTCACGACGCTTCGCGGCGACAGTATGCGGCTGCTAATTAGAAAAGTTAACCAGTACACGCCGCTGCGCGGCGTCCAGCCGGCAACCCAAGCCCCGCTGTCCCCAATCTGCGAAGTTTCGTCGACAAGATTCGGTGTTCTTTTTTTTTTTTTTTAGTGTTCATCGCAAAAAAGAAATATAAATATCGCCAAATGCCTCGACAAAACAACGTTCAAGAAAAAAAAAAGAAAAAAAAAAAGGTAGACACACCGCGATTGGAACCCGCGTCCACTTGCGTACAAAGCGGACACCCTAACCCCTACGCAATTCCACCGGTTGGAAAACTCTTTGTCATCATTCATTTTATACGAGAAAAACGTAGTGCATATAGCAATTTCCGGCCGAGCTGCACTCCGCAGTGTATATAGCATTACTCATTAAAAAAAACGGAGACAACGGGAAAAGAATGGGGCAAAGACCAAACGTCTCAATTTGTGTCGTTTTGTGTCTGTCCCCTTCTTGGCCCGTCGTCTCCGGTTTTTTCTAACATGTGTAACATCAGCCAGCTTGCCTGTTTACTTACTTTTTTCAAACTGCTATAAAAGACGCGGGGAACCAGGGCAAATACTTTTAGGGTAAGTGGCCTCATCTCTTTCCCTTCTCTCGCGCGCTTGTAGGAAATCGCGTACCGCCGCCGATTCGCCGTTTCCCACGTGGTCCTCAACAACCCGAGTCCAGCCTGGTTCTTTCACGGGAGCGGCATTTCGCTCTCAGTTTATTGGTACAACAAAA